CCGCCTCCGAGGAGACAGCCCCCCGGGGCAGTCCAAGCTGGCACCAACCGCCCCCCCGAGCAGCCCCTGGTGGCCTCGATGGACCCCCCCCCGCGCAGTCTGGGTCGGCCTCGGCGCCCTGGGGCGCCGCCGCCGGTGGCGCCCCTGGGGCGGCTGGGGCGCTGGCGACCGCCCTGCGCTGCCCGGGGGGCCAGCCGAGGCCAGCTCGGACTTCCCCGGGGGGGGGGCGGGCCCGGGGAAGCCAGCCAGGACTGCCTGGGGGGCGGCGCCCGCGCGCGGCCGGAGGCCTCGCCAGTCCAGTCCTGGCTTCGTCACCACGCCCGTTTTTGTTTGTTTGTTTGTTTGTTTGTTTGTTTGTTTTTTGTTTTTTGTTTCACGTTTCTTGTTGGTTGAGTGTGTGTGTGTGTGTGTGTGTGTTTGCTCCTGTTTTTGCTTTGCGTATCTCCCACAAAGTCGACCTCTGGAGGTCTCGACCCATTCCCCTGGACCCCGGGCTCTCGTCCTGAGGAGTCCCTGACGGCCCCGGGGCCTGGTGCGGGCGCCCCCTTGGGGCCGAAGGGCGGCGGACCGCGCCTCCCGTCGTGGCTGCTTCCTGGCTCTCGAGGGGCCTGGGCAGGCGGTGGTCGGGCGGGGCGAGGGCGAGGATGAACCTTTTCCGGGCAAGGACGGGCAGCGCCGCTTCTCTGTGCTTGCGTTTTGGTCGCCTGTCGGGGTTTTCCGTGCCTTCTCCTCCTGCCTCCTCCTCCTCCTCATCCTCCTGGCTCCTCCTCCTCCTCCTCCTCCCCCTCCTCCTCCTCCTGGCTCCTGGCTCCTCCTCCTCCTCCTCCTCCTTCTCCTCCTCCTCCTCCTCCTCCTCTTCTCCTGCTGGCGGTGGTCGGACGGGAGGGCTAGGACGAGTATCAATGCGTTCCAGAGCGTTCTGGAACGCTCTCAGAGCGTTCTGGAGCGCTCCGAGAAGGCCGCGACGCCCGAGGCATCCTCCAAAGCCTCTGGATCTCAGACATTCCCGAGTTATCCTCATCCGATTTCATCCCTGTCCTGGCTTCGTCTTCGGTTCGGTCACGCGCAGAAGGGGATAGGGGGGGGGGGAAGGCCTCCCAGAGGGTCTCAGAGCGCCCTGGAAGGGATTTGTACTCGTCCTAGCCCCCCCGTCCGACCACCGCCTGTCCAGGCCCCCCGAGTCAGGACTCCCTCGTGCGCGCGGCCGAGTGAGCGACGCGAGCCAAAAGGGGGTCGCCCCCGCCGCCGACCTCGGCGCGTGCAAGTTGCCTGCGCATCAGGTCGCGTGTTTGAGCGCGCCCTCGCTTCTCGAGCCTGTGGCGTGCCGCGCGGGCCGCCCGCGTGAGCCACCCCGCGTGAGGCCGCCGTGCCTCCTCCAGCGCACGACTCGTTTCTTTTCGTCGGCTCAAGTGGTCTTCAGGAGGAGAAAAGCACACAGACACAACTCATCGTCGACTCCCCAGAAAACAGGGGAAGATGTGGTGAGTGGGGGGGGAAGATGAAAACCCGGAGACTATGGGAACACAGAGGGGGATCCTGGGCTTTGTATGTGTGTGTATATCTATGTGTGTGTGTGTGCCTGTGTGTGTGTGTGTGTGTCCCTGGGCCCCTTCATTTCTCTTCGTCGCTCGAGTCCCAGACATCCGACGTCTTATTTTTTTCACTACGGGGTCCCTGGAAGTCCCGACCTGTTTCCCGGGATCGCTTTCTCATCCTGAGTCGTTTTTTGACGGTTCCAAGGCCCAGCGAGGCCCCCCCGAGGCCGAAAATGGCCCCAGACATCCCGCCCTGTTTTTTTTTTACGACGCGATCGCGTTTGGTTTTTTTTCGTCGCTCGAGTGGTCCCTCTTCCTCCTCTGGCCGTCCCGATGATCGCCACGGTGGGCGAGGCGAGCGCCGCGGGGCGCGCGGCTGCGCCGCTCCTCGCGGCCGCGCTGGGCGCGCTCCTCGCGGCGGCGCGCGGCTAGGCGGCTGGGCGATGCCCGCGGTGCCGCGGCCAGGCTCGGCGAGCCTCTCCCCGGCAGCGGTGGTCGAGGAGGAGGAGGAGGAGGAGGAGGAGGAGGAGGAGGAGGAGGAGGAGGAGGAGGAGGAGGAGGAGGAGGGGGAGGAGGAGGAGGAGGAGGAGGCGCTCTGGGGGCCCTTACTGGGCCTCGGGACCGTCCCAAAGCGAATCAGGACGAAAGCCGCCCCCGGGGGGTGGGTCGAGACCCCTGGGGGTCGACGTCGCGAAAAAAATCATGTCTTCGGGGGTCGGGCTTCCCGAGGAGCTGGGTCGCAAGATGCGGCGGCCGATGTGCACATCCGTCCAGGCCTCCCGGCCTCCCGGGTGGTCAGAGGAGGAGAAGAGACCGGTACCGCTACCCTTGCCTCTTTTTCGCCTTCGTGGGCCTTCTGGGAAGCCCTCGTCGCCACGGCTAGATTCGCACCAAAATTCTGGTCAGAAGGCACCCTGGAAGAGGTCCAGAGAGTCGCGGTATTGGTACTTTTTGGGTTTCCCCAG